TGCTACTGAGATTTTAGAGCACGTCAACAACTTTCAAATGGCATGACAGGCAAGCTGCCTGACCTCTGGACTTTAGTTTATCTAGAATACCAAAGGGCTGAAAGACCTCCAAAGTGTCTTCCAATCCTATCATTCATGAGTTTCTCATGATACAGTGTGAGTACTGGATGTTTTATTCTTTAAAAACATTCTTAGGAAATCATTAATAGTGAGGCATGTTTTTTTTAAGGTAATTTATTTTTTTAAAATTTGATTTTTAATTGGAGGACAGCTGCTTTACAATGTTGTGTTGATTTCTGCCACACAGCAGTGTGAATCAGCTATTTGTGTGTGTGTGTGTGGGTGTGTGTGTACACCCTTCCTCTTGAGCCTTCTTCCCAACCCTCATCCCCTTCTCGGTCATCACAGGAGGCCAGGTGGCGCTCCCCGTGTTATAGAGTAACTTCCCACTCACTATCTGTTTTACACAGGGTAATATATATGTTTCAAGGCTACTCTCTCCTTCCTAAGGGTAATTTACTTTTAATAAGGAGTCTGTTTTCACAGATATCCACTTACCTTTGTTCTAAACATAGGAAAATACCCTAAAAGATACTCAAGTTTAAACAGATCTTCCTCTTAGGAGCTACTTTCTCATTGATAGAGAAATTCTAATAGTTCCATAGTGATAACAGTTGTGTGAAAAGGATACAGCGCAATCCATGGCCACAATTCAGCACTACCAAGTTCTTCTGCGGCAACAAGGAATGGGAGAGCATCACCATGAAAATGTGTATTTACTAAATAAGTTCAATAACTTGGAAACTTCTCAAGGAGCTCTCAGAGAATGAAAGACAAAGCTTACTTTTCACATAAAAAAAAAATTTAAATTCCTGCTTCTCTTGCCTTCACCGAAACAAGCCCTAATAAACATATTATTCACCCACAAAATAACATTTTATTCAGAAGGATTCCCATAAACTAACCCACCTGAGCATTCATGTTTATGCAGCAACAAATCATATATCTTTCTACTCTGTTAATAGGTTTTCCTAGAGAAATCACATTTTTACTCTTTTTATGATATTACTGAGATCATTAAAAACAGGAAATGGGAAAACTCTCCTTGAATAATAATCAGTGAGCTATATGCATTTGTCTGGTTTTCTTAAAGCAGTGATTAAATTTGCTAATAGTAATAATTTAACATATTCAGACATCACCAGTTTATTCACTGAAATACTGTGAGTTTTAGATTACTGAACTAGTACTTGACTTTGAATTACTTCTCCTGCTACCGTAACAGATTTCATCCCTGGAGACAACACTGATAGCGCTAACCAGTATCTCTGTAATGACATGATACTCACGTCTCCGGGTTATGGTGACCATATTATTCCTTCAAAACCAGGGAAAATTATTGTTTAAAACCCCCTTGGTTTTTAAACAGTAGGTCCTTCCTAAATCCTTGTTGAGTAAGTGGAGCTCAGATGTTCATATCTATCAACTGCATGTCAATGTTGTCTTATACAGATCTCTGTGTATGTCCCTAAGGTGAAATTTAATCCCGCCAAAGCATTTGATTCTGATTAGTGTTTCAGTTATTTAACTATTCAGTCAGCAAATTCACGGTAACCAAATTATCACAAATATTAGCTGCTCTAAAAAAAAAAATGGTTAGGTGAAATATAGCAAAAAGTCAGTGGAAAGAAAGAGAAGTGAATTTTTAAAAAGATCAAAGAATTGCTCATCCCATGACAAGGTTAAGTTCTGTAAATGTAGAGACTTTTTCAACTTGTTCACTGATGTATCCCCAGCTTCTAGCAGTGTCTGGCAAATATTGGGCCCTTGATAAATATTTGGTGAATGGAGAGACTGCTGATAAAACAACTTATTTTATCCACTATGTATACTTAGTTCAGAATGTAAAACGGGATTCATTTGTAGAGTGCAGAAGCTCTAATATAGGTTCATGCTGAAGTCTGATTCTGGCGAAGGCTCCCGGATTTGGAATTACTAACTGTAAAATACAAATAAATTTATATCCCAGACACTGACTGGCTGATCAAGCCTGGGCCTGGGATACATCAAGCCACAGGTAAGCAAGAATTTCAAGTCATTATCCCTGGGCATGCTGGCAGAGCCAGCAATAACAAGACAGCTTTTCAGGCAAATCCATCAAATATCTCAAACTTCGGAAAAACGAATGTGTTTATTATGCTTCTTCAAGCTTTGAGGCCTAACTATCTGTGGGAAGGGCCTATAATTATGATCAATTACTTGTGACTTGAAGGCATTTATACAGGCACCTATCTGCCCTTTTAAGAAACCTTTAAAGAATCAGCCACAGGACTGTAAAACGGATCCTCTGGGGCAACAATAAATCACAGGTCTGGGGGCCTGACTCTGACAACTCTCCTTTGGAAGGAAAGAATTTGTCACCTGTCCTTGATTTCCTAATCCTGCCTGAAGAATTATCACCATCATCTAAAATGTGAATTCCTAGTCAAGCTCAGCAAGTCTTGGGGACCAGTAATTGCCCCAGGCAGAAGCAGAAGGGAAGAAACAGGAAGGGAACAAATGGAATGGAGATCTGCAGCTCGTGAGGATGACATCATCGATGCTGTTCTCAAGTGTCATTGAACTTCATGGCATATGACTGATGGTCTTTTCTGACAAACTACAGGCTCATTATATTTCGAGTAGCTTCGTGGTTCCAGAGCTTGTAATGTCTGGGCTTGAGTATGATTCGTCCTACAGGAAAGGACAGGTGAACTAATGCCTTGCTGGGAACTTTTACCAAAGCAAGCCCCCGGTCGGCCCCTCCCCACCCCACCACCCCCACTGTCAATCTTCTTGAACACAAATATTACTTGGACATCTGAAGCACTCTTAAATTTACAAACTGTTCACATATACACTATCTCAGTTTCTCCTCATGATTCTTAAGAGGTTGATGTCATCTTCACCACTTAACATGTGAAACAGTTTTAGAAAATGATGCCTCTGTCTTTGACATAAAATTATAATTTCAGCTTATCAATGCAATCTCCTAAAATTTCTCAGTACAGAATCCAAGACATGGCTTGGTTAGAAATGTATAAAGACACACCAACATCAAGAGGATAAATCAAGAGAATAAGTCGGATTTGCTGGCACAAGGGCAAAAACAACTTCCCTCTGTTATGAGAGTAAATTGTGTGCTTTAGGGAAAGGACGGTGTTACACAGGGGTACCTCTGTAATACCTCTACAATTGGAAGGACATGATTTTATTTATATACATGATCATCATCCTTAACTGGATACTATCCATAGGTAACAGACAAAATAAAACAAGAATCTTGGACTTACAATTCTAGCAGTAGAATTCACCCTTTGGGAAGTGACTGGGTGATTCCACTAGGAAGATAACTAAGTTGCAGGGTACAGATGTACCCTTCGCTTTCCTCTCCAATATCACAAAGACGCCCCAAAAGGGTTTCTGTTGTTTTTCAACAAGAACAAAAAAATACACAGAAGGTTACCTACTGCTTTTATATTTAATCTCATCTTCCTAAATCACGGATTCTTTCAGTCCGTCTCTTCTCTATTGGCTAAAACAGAGGTATATTGGGATCCTAGCTTTACAGCCATTTACTACCTTGTTTATGTAGTTATGATTCTTCGCTGCCTTCTAGCCTGAGTCCTGACTGTGGCAGGAACAAAGCAGAATACAAGTCATCCAGCCTGGGATAAGAGGAGACAAGTTGAAACCTCCTAGGAAGACTCTGTAGACACGTGGGCTCCCTGAGTCTATGGAGGGCTTGGTATTTCAAAGGTCAGTCTTGGGTCTCTCCACTTTGGTGACTAATGTTAAATTGTTTGACTTTTCACAAAAATATTTAGCTATGCTTATTTACATAATCTCATCCACAGCACACATACAGTAGTAGATATGTATTTGTTGAACAGAGCCCCTGGACAGATGAGGAGACAGGAAGAAGACCTCAAGACCTCCTTTCTCCAATTTATTATCTTAGAAGTTGAGAAAGGTAAAATCACACCCTAATTTGTATAAGTTTCTGGGCATTCCTTTTCAGCTTAAAACTATGCACCTCTGTTTAAAAAAAGAAAAGGATGACACACCACACAATGTCAAACACACAATGGGGAAATTCCAGGATCACTAAGAAAACACCATTATCCAAAGTCACACACACTTTGGTTTAATACTGGTTCCCACACAAGAGACACTGTAAAAGCTGCTGCCTCCCCACCCGCCAGCACAGCCCACCGAGGAAAATCCTGGGCAGGACGTTTGCAATCTAAATATTCCATAACCTGGACTGACTGCCTGGAGAAGGAGCCTAAGGACTATGCCCTCTTAGACACACAAAATAATAAGAACAGGTAACATATTTGGAAGACATTTTAAAAATGACACAAACTGGGCGTCGGCACTGAAGTCCTTCATCAGGAATCATCATTATGCAATGTTAGCGAAAACAAACTGTAGGTGTAATTGACAAAATTATTCTCAAGTGTTTCTGCACTTTAAAACCTCATTTTTACGAGGCTCTTGCAGAAGACTTTTTTCCCTACTAGTTACCACCATACCCTGTTACCTCTCATTCATTCTCTCAAAAACTCCCCCAATGACCAAGAAAACTACGCGGGGGTCTGGGGGGCTGGGCGCCCGTCTCAGGTTGCCTTGTTCTGTCCCCTAAAAGACACCCATCTTTGCGGACCCCTTTCAGGAAGAACCGGGAGGAAAACACTTAGAACTGGCACAGCGGCGGGGAAGGCTGCGCAGGTCATATTTTCTGACTGGTCTTTCTGCTCGCTGTCTGGCAAGGTCGCCAGCTCTGGCTCGTGGCTCTGTCGACAAAACTCTCACTTCGTAAGGTCGACGGACGGCGCCATGCCTCCCCCGCCGCCCCCCCGCCCTCCCGCACGCGCAGCATCCTCCTGGGGCCGGGGATCCCAGGCCCTCCCCCAGCGCGCGGCCCCCGACGGCACGGGCGCCGATCCACCGCTCACCTGACCACGTTGGGGTGCTCGAAGGTCTCCAGGTGCCTCAGCACCGCCACCTCGCGGATGGTGGAGAGCGGCATGCCCTCCTCGCCAGTCTGCACTCGCACGCGTTTCAGCGCCACGAAACGGCCTCCGTTCTTCAGGTCCCGGGCCTTGAACACCTTCCCGTAGGCGCCCTCCCCGATCTCCGCCACGCACTCATACTGCTGGTCGGCACGGCTCAGGCCGTCCTTCTCCATGCCGCCCGGCGCGGTGCCGCTGGGGCGGGCGGGGGGCGCGCTCGGCTCGCTGGTGGCCGCCGCTCGCCTCCTCCCGGACTCCCCGGCCGACTCCCTCGCGCCCCGGACCTCGGTCTCGCTCTCTCTCACCCCCCGCCGACTCCCGCGCTCGGACTCTCGCGGCCGCCGGGGCTGGATGGAGCGACCTCCCCGCGGGCGGGCGCAACCCTGCTGCCGCCGCTGCGAAACTCCGCCTGCTGAGTCGCCGAGGAGCGAGCCGATCCCTCCTCTTCCCTCCCCGAAGCGCAGTCCTCTGCAGTCGCCGAGGCGATTACATAGTCTCAGTCTCAGCCCGAGCGCGTCTCAGTCCACGGTCATTCCACCTAAAAGAGGAGACGGGAGGACGAGAAGAAAGTGTAATCAGACATCCCAGGCGCCTTCTCCGGGGTTCCTACAGGGACCCCTCCTCCTCTACGCAGCCCCCATCGCTACCCTCTGCGAGCTCCTGCCCTCTCCCAGGCCGCTTAATCCTTCCTGGTTCCTCCGAGAAAAACGAAGTTACTTTTCTTTCCCTGCAGCGCTGGAGCCGTCTTCGTGCGGAGAGGCTGCAGGGGCCCCTCGGGGATGAGCGCCGGGCGCGGGACGCGGTGGAACGAGAGGGGGCGTGCCAAGCAGCCCGGAGTGTGCCGGGAGCGCGGGGGAGGGGAGGCGCCGGGCACGTCAATGTCACGGCTTAATATTTCCCTGTATTACTGTGTTGGGCTGCTACCCTCCCTGCCTGCCGGGCCTGGGCGTCAGGGGACGGGGCTCCGTGGGTGCCGTGGGGGGCGTTCTGGGGTCGTGCGCGGCCCGCTGTGGAGAGCCCTCGGGTCCGCCCGAGTGCGGCCGCAGAATGTGGGTGGGGGCTCCAGGACCTTTGTAACCCGATGCTCGGAGTGTGCGAGGAGGGGTGGTCAGACATCTGCTCGGAAATTGCTTCCTTTCTTTCTACTTTCAGTTTTTCTACGAGGAGACATTTAAAGACGACACACAAATGGTCTTTTTAGGGTAAAAGAGTCTGGGTTGGAAACGGAATCCTTCCTCTGACTTGGGAAGACCTCCCTGGTGGAAACCCATCAGATCCGAGAGGGCGGGAGCTCCCGCTCCTCTGGAGTGGGTGAGCGATGCCTCCCCCTGCGGTGTGGGGGGGGGGGGGGGGGGGGGAGCGGGTGAAGTCGCCTGCCGAACCCTAAGAATGGGATAAAGAGGTGCTTGCCGCAGTTCAGCTGGTCGTCTCCTTGGAGAACTTCAGAAGCAGGGCGGCATAATCGTGACTCGCCTTGAATTTTTCAACCGATTGCAACCTGAGCGAAACTCAGCCTCCCCTTAAAAAGGGTGAGGGGTGGGGGGAGTAAAGGCTGCCTCCAGGGGAAAGCGAAAAGGGGTGGCGCCCCCGAGGCCGGGACTCGCGAACCTTTCCCCACTCTCAGGGCTGTTCCCGAAGTAGGTAGCAGAGGCGGCTGCTCCACTCCCCTTTCAGCTTAATGTCGGGTCTGAACCGCAGCCAGTGGCCCCCGGAGCCCACACCCCCCCACACACACAACAAAGCGGGGGCGGGGGTCCGCACTCTTCTTTCCCATTCAAGCTGCAATCCAGGAACCTCCGCTCCACCAACGCCGTGGCCTCTGCCGGACATTCGCCGCTCCGACTGCGTGTCCAAAATTCCCGGAGCTCCTCGGAATTACCTGCCCCGCAACCTCTGGCTCGCTCGCCTTCCGCCAGGAATTAAAGATACAGACTGCGCGACCCCCGCGGTCTGCGGGCGGCGGGGACCGCAGAGAGCACCGGGCTCCTCACACTCTCTCCATTCAGAATTCTCCTTAAAAGGTGAAGGCCAGTCCTGGGGGGGCCGAGGACCCAGCGGCAGGAGCCAGGCCGAGGGCCACACAGGTAGCGGAGGAGCCGCGGCGAGCGCGCCTCCCGCCCCCTCCCGCGGGCCCCCTCCGCGCCCCAGTCCCGCCCGCCGCCCGGCGGCGAAGGAAGCGGCGGGGACGTCCCACCCCCGCAGGGAGCTGCGCCCGCCGCCCCCGCCCGGCCCCGCACCGCCCGCCGGCTCTCCCCCGCTCGCTCCCCGGACTGTCGGCTCCGGCGGAGAGAAACGGGAGCAGCCGTGCCTCCCCCCGCCCCGTCCACTTTTTTTGTTGTTGTTCTTGCTTTCCCACGCTGGCTGAATGTGACTTGACCCCATTTCAAAAAGTTTGACAGAGTGCTTCAACATTTCCGCATTCCTCCGCGACTACAAAGGCTGCAGCCGCCTCCTTCTGCTTTCTGTCTCTGCTCTCTGTCTTCACACTCAATGAAATCCTTCATGTGCCTCTCCCGAAGCCTGCCAAGCACCCCAAGGGTCGCCACCAGCGCGGCGACCAGAGGCCGCCCCGGGGACCACGACTCCCGCGTGTGCGCACACGCAGATGCGCCCACGTGCACAGTGACGGGCGCGGGGCTCGGGCCCGGAGGTGTTCACCCCGGGGGCGTGCGTTTTAACGTCGATACTTTAAATTAGGAAAGTAAACTGGGAAACTAAAGCAAGCGTCCATCCTTGCGGGGGGACTCCCAGCCTGGGCACTGGCCGCCGGCGTGCACTCCTCTCTTAAGTGCAGAACACGCCCGCGGGGGCTGCCAGCAAGAAGTCTGCGTTAACATTTATCTCGTGGTGGGGAAGGTGGAGCTCATACCCACACCTCGGCGAGATGGAGGGGGAGCTTTCGTGGGGAAATAAAGACAAGGCACCGAAACACATTCTCTCCCGCGTGAGGTCCCCAGAAGCAGTGCATTTTAAACCCTGAATGTAAATTGCTCGGTGAGTTTCCCAATGGAGCCTGAGTTCCGTTTGAAAAACTGGATAAGAAGTGTTTGTGTGGGTGTTTGTGCGCAAGGCTGTGTGGGGGCCACAGGAGCTCGGCGTTGGGGGGAGTCCCTCGTGTGGGATGTTCCCCTCTAGTCAGATTAGGAGAAACTCCTGTAGCTCCCCCGAAACTGGCCCCTGTAACCACCCCGCCTCGGATCGTAAGGGGTTAACCAAAGCCGATTCCGAGAACCTCCCGCGCGCCCCCCCCGCCCCAGTCACCCCC